GAGAGTTTACCGTATGGTATCCTTCATCCATATTGGTAAACTATTCCAACCATTACATTGGTGTAATGACTGCAGCTTGCTATACTTTTTGGTATTTCTTTGACTCTCCCCCCATCTCCTCCCCCTATCATGGTTTGGTGGCGCTTCCATCATTTGGATCTATCAAGATCAATACTGATGGTTGTGTCAAGGATAATTTTGCAAGTGGGGGAGGCATCATCAGGGACTACGTAGGAAATTGTATCAGGGCTTTCTCAGCTTCATATGGACAATGTATGATATTAGAGGTGGAGCTCAGGGATATTCGTGATGGGATACAATTGGCTAGAGATCTTGATTTGTCAGATATTTGGGCTGAGACAGATTCGACTGTTGTCATTCACTGCATCACCAGAGGTGGCGGACCGTGGCCTATCCAGGGGATACTCAGACATATTACAGATATCATTTCATTTAACAGAGATATGGTCTCCCACATCTTCGGAGAGGGGGAACCAAGTTGTAGGTGTACTTACTACTGATGGTTGGCATCATCATAGATACCAAGAATATGGACTAGCTGACCTACCACGACATATCAGGGAGCTTGTTCAGATTGACAGGTGTGGTTTGTCCAGTACTGGAGTTTAGGTATTTTTATTTTGCTTTTACTTGTTCTTTTTGTAAGAGTAGTATTCATTTTTTACCGCTTTCTTTTTATTCTTTACTTTTCACTGTTAGGGAAGTAATATTTCCTTATTTATTGATTTCATTGATATCATTTGGAACCATGGTATTCCTCCGCCACAAGTGATGACACATTAATAAAATTTAATAGGTTCTGCTCTCCTTCCACCAAAAAAAAAATTAAATTAAATTATGAATGTTTTTATAAATATTATATTAATACTTTTATATTTCAATGTAATAGAACATAATTTTCATAACGATGTTAACCTCTACCACAGTATCAATACAATTTGCTTATGAAAAGTTAATTAACCGTTAACTAAATTAAAATAGGTATTTTTTTATATTGTTTGATAATTAGAACCATTTCATTTTATTCAAATTCAATGCCATTTGCTTCGGGCCTTTTAAATATGAAAAGGGAACAATACATTTCTAAGGTATTTACTTTACACATTTTCAAA